CTCTCTTCCCCTCTCCCACCTCCTTTTCCCAGTCTCCCCGAGTTTTGTTCAATAAAGAGAGATTTATTTTTGACCACACGTTTTCTTTATTTTGTACATCAGGAAGGGGGGCTAGGGAAGAGTAAGTGGAAGGAGGTGGGGGAGGAATGGGGTACGAGCCCCCGATGGGGAGGATTGGGCTGGCTCTGCGGGCTTCTGGGGGTGGAAGCTGTCCTGCAGCCCCCCAATTCCTCCCTCTCCCCAGATGGCAGCCTGCGGCAAGTGCAGCCGGTCTGATGGCCGAGTGCTATGATGTGCCCAGTGTGGGTACTCCGGGCACTCCAAGCCAGGACTGCTTTGCAAGCGGGGAACCCCTGAGAACTGTCTGTCCGGGGTGGGGGTCAGGTCCCTTTAAGCACAGCCCTCGGCTAGCCTGAGGCAGCAGCTCCATGCTCTAAGTCCTCTTCTGATGCCCTGCCAGGACTGCTTCCAGCCATCCTTAACCCCGGTTCAGGGTCCACTCTGTGTGGACATGCTAGTTCGAATTAGCAAAATGCTAATTCAAACTAGTTTTTTAGTCTGGATCCATTAGTTCGAATTAGCTTAGTTCGAATTAAGTAATTCGAACTAAGTTAGTTCGAATTAGCACTATAGTGTAGACACACCCAGAGAGAGAGAGAGAGAGAGCCATGTTAGTCTTTTCAGAGAAATCTACAAGGAATCTGATGGCACTTTAAAGACTAACAAATTTATTGGGGAGTAAGCTTTTGTGAGATACAACTCTCTTCCTCAGATGCTTGAAGTGAAAGAAAGGTGGGGATAAAGAGAGGAGAGTATAACATCAATACTAATTAAATCAGGGTGGATGTGGCTCACCTCCAAGAGGGATGAGAAGGTGAGAGTACCTGAAGGGGAAATTACTTATTGTAGTGAGAGAGCCATTACATGTCTCTATTCGGTCCCATTCAGAAAGTGTACAATTTGCATATTAATTCCACTCAGCAGTGTTACATTGCAGTCTGTTTTGACATTTTTTTGCCTAATGATGGCAACTTGCAAGTCAGTAACTCTGTGTCCAGGAGGTTAAATTGCTCCCCACTGTTTTTTGAATGTTACTGTTCTTGATATCTGATTTGTGTCCATTTATTCTTTTGCACAGAGATAGTCCAGTTTGTCCAATGCACATGGCAGAGGGGCATTGCTGGCACGATGACATACATAACATTAGTCGGTGTGCAGGTGAACAAGCCTTTGATAGTACAGCTGATGTGGTTAGGTCTTGTGATGGTGTCAGTGCATAAATGCGTGGACAGAGTGGGGATGGAGCCAAACACTGAGGCATGTCATGACTCCATCCCCACTCTGGCATGATAAATGCAGAAGTGGGGGCCAGCAAGTGTACCCCAAAGCCTTATCTACCAGGCTTTGGTATAAAACTTCCCTCAAAATCTTAAAAAACCCTAGATTTTGAGAATAAAACTTCCACTGCCACCACCCAAATATTAATAACGAGATTAGGGGAAAGATCATTTGGGAAATCTCACCCCTATTATAAAAATCAGGACACACAAGTAACCAATGCCAGGTTAATAAAAGGAAAGGAGAAAACTTTTATTATTACAACAATATTCCTGTTGCAAGCATAAGGATCAGATGGAAAGGTAACAAAATATACTCATGGAGGAATTACACCAGGGGCTAGAACTTAGTTAAAAAGAAAAGCCAAATCTCTCTTAAGCAGTGACAGGTATCAGATCCCATACCCAACACTTAAAACAATAAAGCCTAACGAAACTACCTAAACTTTACCCTACTTACAGAAAGTGAAAAATTGTTTCTTGGAGAGAGAGAGAGAGACATGCTTGTCCCTCCCTGTAGCTGCAGAGGACTCACCCAGAGACAAAGGAGGGAAAAACCCAAATTCCTTTGTCCCAGTTTGAAAGTCCTACCTCCATTCCTATTGGCCACTTCATCCCTTAATCCCCAGGCTACTGGCTAACCCTCATAATCATGACACACATAATCATGAATGGTGTGGAGAGGGTGAATAAAGAAGTGATTTATTAGTTCCCATAATAGAAGAACTAGAGGACACCAAATGAAGTTAATGGGTAGCAGGTTTAAAACTAATAAAAGAAAGTTCTTCTTCACACAGCACATAGTCAACCTGTGGAACTCCTTGCCAGAGGAGGCTGTGAAGGCTAGTACTATAACAGAGTTTAAAGAGAAGCTAGATAATTTCATGGAGGTTAGGTCCATAAAAGGCTATTAGCCAGGTAATAGAAATGATGTCCCTGGCCTGTGTTTGTCAGAGGCTGGAGAAGGATGGCAGGAGACAAATCACTTGATCATTATCTTTGATCCCCCCTCTCTGGGACACCTGGTGCTGGCCACTGTTGGTAGACAGGCTACTGGGCTAGAAGGACTTTTGGTCTGACCGAGTATGGCCGTTCTTATGTATGCTGGCTGCTTAGCCATGTGGGCAGAGCCTGAGAGGTTCTGACTGGCTCACTGGCCACGTTTGGGTCCAATGCTGCAGCTTAAGGCTTAATCCTTGTATTCATGTCCATTAGTGTGAAAAAAAACTATTTGCATATATATTAGCATGTGTATGCAACCACACTTAAGTTGTGACCCTTGGCATATGCTGAGAGTATCATTGTGGCCCCCAGGGCTTCCAAAGTTGAGTAGCCCTCCTGTAGGTCCTTGAGGGATTGAAGCAAATGAGGCTGTATCTTAGGGCTTTGCTATAGACATGGTTCCCAACCTGGGGTCCATGAGAGTATTGCAGGGGGTCTGGGAAATAAAAATAAAAATGTTCATAGAAAATAAGTTTTAAATAAATTGCAAAGTTACAATCAATTATTATTTTAAAATTAAATATCTTCCAATAATGTTACCAATTGCTGTCCAAAAAATCTATGTTGTGGCGCCTTTGTATGATGAAATGATTGGGACAGTTAGAAGCATGCAAATGTTAGCCATACACTCAACATGGATCTGTGGCTGAAATCAGGCTTGCTGAAGAGAAAGGAGATTGATGAGCAGAGTGAAGCATCCACAAATGGAACATCTAATCAAACAGACATAAGTAAACAAAAAGTAAGAAAATACTCCACTGACTATTAGAAATTCAGCTAGAATTGGCTTTGATGGGGGTCCATGAACAATTTGGGGGGTGATTGGGGATCTATGACCAGTTTGAGGGGGTGGTTGGGGGTCTGTACTAGTGAAAAGGTTGGAAAGCACTGCTGTAGACAATAGATAGTATCATATGTTCTGGATAAAAGCTGGAGCCATGCAGGTATTATAGTGGTCAGCGGGTTTCTGGTATAGAGTGGTATAGAGTGATATTTATTTGACCATTACTTATTTGCATTGTAGTGTCCAGAAAGTGGATCTTTCGTATGGACTGGTCCAGGCTGAGATTGATGATGAGGGGGAAACTGTTGAAATCCTGGTGGAATTTTTTAAGATCCAAAGGGTTTTTCAGAGCTGTAGGTTTTTACTGGGTTGGAACCAGAAACACTAAATATTTGATATCGGTCTGCTTTTGCAGCTTGATAGTACAAAATGTTGTATTAAATGTACAAAATAGATATCTTCCTCTCAGAGTAGACTATGCCATTC